TGCTAAAGAAAAAACTTTCATCCCAAGAAAAGATCATAACGCTGAATGGTGGTCTACACACTGTCAACAAGCAAAAGCAATGAGAAGAAAGATTGAGAGACTGTATCAAAAGAATCATGATTGCCCAGATTATAAACGACTGTACAGGAAAGCATCAGAGAGAGCATCCTCAGTCATTGTATCCACAAGAGATCACTTCTACAAAACAAGGTTACAAGATAGTGCAGGTGATGCTAAAAAGACTTATTCCATCGTTAATAAGTTGCTCAATAAAGAAAAAGTTAGTACTACTACACCTTCTTGCTCTTCAAATCTTGAGAGTGCTAACAACTTTGCACAGTTCTTTAAATCAAAGGTCGACAACATATACAACAACATTTATTTAGAACAACAATCCCAAGATTCTCCTAACTCAGATGAATTTGTTCCTCTTTCTAATAGCCCAAAGATAGTACAATTCCGTCATGTGTCTGATGAAGAACTAGTAAGCATCATAAAGAATATGTCTAACAAATTCTGTGATCTTGACCCCATACCTACAAAGATTCTCATCAAGTGTCTCCCAGAACTCCTTCCTCTGATCTCATTTATAGTCAATGAATCATTAGTTAAAGGTGAGTTTCCTATAAAACTTAAGGAGGCTCTCATTCGTCCAAGTTTGAAGATACGTGGCCTTGACGGTGAATCTCTATCTAACTACAGGCCTATTAGCAATCTCTCATTCTTGTCAAAAATCATTGAGAAGTGTGTATCTATACAGCTCACCAGTTATCTTGAGGATAACAACTTGCTTTCTAAAGTTCAGTCCGGCTATAGGAAGTTTCATAGCTGTGAAACTGCAACAACCAGAATCCATAACGACATCTTGATAACTATTGACAAGAAAACTAAAGTTGTTCTTTTACTTCTAGATTTGAGTGCTGCCTTTGATACTGTCAATCACCCAAGATTAATCAAGAAGCTAAGATCTGCTTATGGCATTACAGGCATTGCTCTTACATGGATCAGGTCCTACTTGGCTAACCGTTCATTTTGTGTCAAAGTCAAGGATTCGTCTTCCTCAGCAACTGTTCTTGAGATAGGTGTGCCACAAGGTTCAATCCTTGGCCCCCTGCTATTCATATTGTACACCAAAGATCTTGAGAACATTGCAAGTATGCATGGGTGCTGTATTCATTTGTATGCTGATGACACCCAGCTGTATTTCACTCTTGATTCTGATGACCCATCACAGCTAGAGCACAATATGGAACACTGTTTGTCTGATATCAAGAAATGGATGACAAACAATTTCCTTCAACTGAATTCTTCTAAGACTGAAGTCATCGTTATATCCTCTAAATTTGACTCAACAAATATTCCAGCCTCTCTACAGATTGTTAAGGATCAAGAGCCACATGTTGTTAGTGGAACTGTGAAGAGTCTTGGGCTGTATTTGGACAGTTATCTTTCAATGAGTGATCAGATTACGTCAGTGGTTCAAGCATGTAATATTCAGATCAGAAATTTGTGGTTTATTGCATCAAAACTGTCTTTTAACCTTAAGATTCAGCTTGTTCATGCTCTAGTACTCTCTAGAATTGATTATTGCAATAGCGTATATTTTGGACTGAGCTCTTATGATTTAAGTCGTTTACAGAAGGTGCAAAATTCTGCTGTAAGATTTATTTTCGGGAGAGGAAGAAAGGCACACACTACTCCACTACTTAAGAAAGTTCATTTTCTACCAGTTAGATTTAGAATAGATTTTAAGATTGCCCTACTTGCCTACAAGTGTTTAAATAATATAGCTCCTCCTTACTTAAAAGAGTTGATATCTCCTAGGCAGCAAAGTTTTAAAAATGTACGTCTTGATAATGATTATTTTTACCTTAGTTTTCCGCCCTCTCCTAACTATGTAAACACAGAGAAAGCTTTTAGTCACTGTGCAGTTAAAGGACGTGTTCAAACCTGGTTGGTGGTTTTGTTTCATTTTTCCCACTCATTACTTCTGGGCCCCCAGATTGAAATCTGTAACATTTTAGGAAAAACTGAAACTACTGACAAAAACTAGACCCTTTGACTGAGGGCACCCTTGAACCAGAATTTTTGTAACATATTCAGGTCCTGAGATATAGCAGCTTAGTTGGGGGCCCTGGATATTGAATTTTGTAACACATTTCTATGTTACACTTTTTCAATGGGTTTTTAGAGAAGCTTCTTGATAGTTTTTCAAGTTCAGACCAGTTTTTCTAGGTCACAAAGGGTTCCATCAACCATATTCTTGACCGAATTTTGTACTTGGGCCCAAAACATTGAATTCTGTAACATATTTATGTTTTCACTGCCAAGGTCATATCTGGAATATTCAATATATTTTTGTATCGGTAACATGGTTTTTAGATTCTCGTACAAAATTCTGAAGCAATCCTTATTCATATAATTTGATAAAATGGCTGCGGAACTTGAATTATGTAACATTAGAAAGTAAGTGTATAGAGTATGTACCCTAGTGTGAGGGGTGTTAGGTAAGCTATATTATAGTTTTTGAAGTTCAGACCAGTTTTTCCAGGTCACAAAGGATTCCATCAACCATATTCTTGACCAAATTTTGTACTTGGGCCCAAAACATTGAATTTTGTAACATATTTATGTTTTGACTACAAAGCTCATATATATCTGGAATGTTCAATATATTCTTGTACTGGTAACATGGTTTTTAGATTCTCATACAGAATTGTAAAGCAATCCTTATTCGTATAATTTGATAAAATGGCCGCGGAACTTGAATAATGTAACATTAGAAAGTAAATATATAGAGTATAGTATATAGTATGTATCCTAGTGTGAGGGGTGTTAGGCAAGCTATATTATAGTTTTTAAAGTTCAGACCAGTTTGCCTAGGTCATAAGGGTTCCATCAACCATATTATTGACCATATTTTGTAGTTGGGCCCAAAACATTGAATTTTGTAAGTCCACAGATGGACATGGAACTCTGCCATTTCAGTGGATCAACTCGTGACCTGGCATTTTATTGTGACAAATTTCAATATATAGGGCCCAATTTCTATTTTCTATACAATTTTATATATAAATTAAAAGTTTTTAAATATCCAACCTTTAATCTAATTAGCTATATTCATTTGATTAAATTCACCGCGTTCTGTCGCGGATTGTCAATTTAAATTACATTACATTTAAATTGTTACAAAATTCAATAATTTGGTCCCAATAACTTTTTTTAAATTTGTTACGTAAGTTGTTTCATGTCTTTATTTTAATGCATCAACCAACTTAAAACCAATACTAGATCAAACAACTCTGTATAACATACTGATTTGTAACCATGTTACGTTATTCAAAGAAATGGCCCTTTTATTGATTATGAACCATATACCTAGATTGTGGTAATGCCTTTATACAAGAATAGCTGCACTAATAACCTGGTTTGAGAGTTAAATACATATCCTACACTAGCTGTGGTTGTAACAAACTATAAAGATAGATTCATGAAAACTAGATGTTACAAAATTTTCATTTTGGGCCTTTTTATGAAATCAAAAGTGGGCCTTTTTTCATTCCACAGCTAAGCAAATACCTAATGTACATTTTTGTGAAGCGAGAATCTTTAAAATTTAATAATTGGCTGAGCCATTGAAAAGTGTAACCAAATGTTACATTTTTCAACATAACTGGGCCATTTTACAATATTATTCATAGCCGATGACCTGAGAATATTTGTTATCACAATTATAATCATCTCTTAAAGTTTCAAGACCATCGAGTAATTATTAATGGAGTTATTGTAAAAATGAGAAAATCGCCCATTTTGGCAGTGAAACAAAACCACCAACCAGGTTTGAACATGTCCTAAAGTATTTAATTCCTTGCCATACGACATAAGATCAGCTGAGTCAGTTACATCTTTCAAGACCAAACTTAAAACATACTTCTTTTCTCTAGCATTTGATTGATTTTGCATTTACATAGGTAAAATGAACTTGTCATGTCTAATTTTCAATTAAACTAAGCTCAGTTAATGTAAGAGCCGCTTTAGAAAGCACTGGAGTTTATCTCCAGGATTAAATTATATCGAGTTATATGATTTAGCTATAAGGCGGTTTATAAATGTTGTAATTATTATTATTATTTTGAGATGAGCTGGTCGATTGCTTACTTGTTACTAAAACTGCTCGTTCTAAGAAAATATATCTGCAATGTGCAATCTTCTTTTGAATCACATAAATAGATATACGACTGATATTCGTTGGATTCCCAAACAGTTGAAAGTATGCACCCAAACAATCGCCCACGTATTGGTATGTCCCATACACGACGGTAGAGTGATTCTGCTTTCATTTGTCTAGGATCTTGACGAGATATCTTTTAAGCGCTTAATGGTGCCAGACGCTTATCCATTGCTCATTCTATCTTACATACTGTCGTGTGGAAGCCGTGGATCAGAACAATTGTTACAGTGCACAACTGTGTACGTGTATCGAAGTGTAACCTTTCAAGGTTCAATATCTTTTGGCAGGGTCCTTACTCCTTCTCCATTCAGCTCTCAATCATGGCTTTCCTGACCATTTAACCAGTGGCGTAACGTAAGGCCCCGCAGACCCCGCTATGCGGGGGGGGCGCCGTGAGAGGGGGGCGCCAAAATTCTGCCGCCCCTCCTCATAATTTGGCGCCCCCTAGAAATATGGCGCCCCTGGTAATAAAATACTTGGTATATAAGGTCCAAAAGTTGTTAAATATCGTGCTACTGTTGTAAGATTTGTAAAATTCTAAAATTAAATATAGTGCAAAGCAAGCAGCCAGCGCGCGCTAAAAACACGTGGTAAGTGATAACGATATTGCAATTTGTATACAAACGTGGTATACAAAATTCGCGCGTGAGAATGTTTTGATTTTGTGGCAATTTTTGATATCAATGTTTAATTTTAACTTAGATCCCAATTTCATCGGCAGTCACTTATTGTAGTATTAATGATACTTCAAAAATAAAACACCAACATCTAACAGGTAGCAATAACAGATAAAAATATGGAAATAAAAATCAATTTACATTTTTCAATACTACATAATATTTACATTACCGTACAGTTCATATTCCAAGCAACTCTCTTAGGTTTGGAAAGAGCATCAAATTGGGCCAGCTCTTTCTTGTCAAGTTGTCTTGCTGTTAAGTTCTTGATTGAGATGATGGCTAAACTGTAAACTGCTTAATCTATCGTTTAGTTACCCATTGTGCTTCGGAGTTTTTAAATAGCTTCAGTTTGCTAAAGGATTTTTCAGCACTGGCTGTACAGTTATTCAGATTGGCACCAAAATCAAATTGAAGGCTGACAAACTACGTAGCGAAATATTCACAGACAAATAAGATTTAATGCTTCAGTCAGGTCGTGCTTGTGGAGCTGGCTCAGTTGTTTTGCAGCTTTCGTCAGCGTACAATTGACTCCACATTTTGCATAGTATGTACTATGTACATGAAATCTTCCAACGGTAACGAAACCTGATTTGGGAAATTTGATGTTAATTTACAAATAAATCTGTAAACCACTTCCTTCTACAAATTTCACCACATGGCTGATGGCATAATACCTAACATAACTCCACAGATGCCACAATATTAAAGCTATTTACATGATTCAAAATAAACCTCAATACTTACTTCAATGTTTTCAGTCACATCCCAACTCTGCATATACAGTGAGCAACCACACTCCACACATATCGGCATTCGGCATGTAGTTCATATAAACACATGCTAATTGCTATATCCGGGAATTTCATTAATGTAAAGGTTTGTTCATTAATACATTTTTTTTAAACGTACGGAAACAATTCCTACAAAAATAGGTCACTCTTTGTAGTTACTAGTTGTGACACCATACAACAGCCATTTCAAATCATTACTACTTCTGGCAGCAAAACAAAGTCGGCTACAACTGCAAGTTCTAACAAATAACAATAATCATTCGAACAACTACCAATAAATAGAAAAGTATACATTTAAATGTTTAACATCATCATCTGGTAACAACCATAGTCCATACTACCATAAAAACTCGCTAACAGCATTAGATAATGGACAATCAGTACAGACTACAGTGAGTACAGCTCACACACGCACTTTTCAATTGTATAATATATAAGTTCACCATTCCCCCGTATGTTGCCATGGTAACTGTCCCAACGGAGCGTCAAGGATATGATCGATTATAAATCGGTTATTAAGTGTTTCTAAGGTGTGTCCCATACATTAGTTTAGTGTTACACTCAGTGTGTAATATTTGTTTCCTCGACGATTTGCTTAATAACACGAAAACATTTGTGTAAAGATTACATTTGATCGTACCAACTATTTAAGCTCCATTTATCCGTTGAACATGGATGTTAAAACGAAGAGGTCAGTTGATATATTACATCTGTGGAGTCTGAACACCTACCCAGTTACCATGGTGATAATTCCAGAGATATCACGTGATTTGCTAATCAAGTAATGCTATAATTGAATGCGTATAAATTGCACTGATCTATCTCATTGCCTTGAAATGACGTGGCATACTTGTAATCTAGCGGCAGTAATGTTTTACTGATCAAGCTTGTCAGTAGAATTCTTTAACCATTCCCCGAATCCCCCGTATGTTGCCATGGTAACTGTCCCAATGGAGCGTCAAGGATATGATCGGTTATAAATCAGTTATTAAGTGTTTCTAAGGTGTGTCCCATACATTAGTTTAGTGTTACACTCAGTGTGTAATATTTGTTTCCTCGACGATTTGCTTAATAACACGAAAACATTTGTGTAAAGATTACATTTGATCGTACCAACTATTTAAGCTCCATTTATCCGTTGAACATGGATGTTAAAACGAAGAGGTCAGTTTATATATTACATCTGTGGAGTCTGAACACCTACCCAGTTACCATGGTGATAATTCCAGAGATATCACGTGATTTGCTAACCAAGTAATGCTATAATTGAATGCGTATAAAGTGCACTGATCTATCTCATTGCCTTGAAATGACGTGGCATACTTGTAATCTAGCGGCAGTAATGTTTTACTGATCAAGCTTGTCAGTAGAATTCTTTAACCATTCCCCGAATCCCCCGTATGTTGCCATGGTAACTGTCCCAATGGAGCGTCAAGGATATGATCGGTTATAAATCAGTTATTAAGTGTTTCTAAGGTGTGTCCCATACATTAGTTTACTGTTACACTCAGTGTGTAATATTTGTTTCCTCGACGATTTGCTTAATAAAACGAGTAACGTTCTATTATATCCTATTAGCTACATTATGTTTCTGACAAACTTACCAATTCAATACAGAACGAAATTAACTAACAACCAACATTACATAATTTCTCAGTGTTTCTCAACACTGAAGTGCAAACAGTTTAAGAGTACTACCAAGTTTAAGAGTACTACCAATCATGATCAGTACCTATAATATTCAGTATTATTCTATCGATGTTATCATCTACAGACTACACACATCTAGAAGACACCAACCAACACTCCTCATTGAACACAGTTATCATTATCAATAACATATGAATAATATTAACCTGCGACAACGGACAAGTAAGAAACGGCATCGTTGCCTAAAGTCTAAACTTCGACTAAAATGAGTCCTACAAAATTGACTTATCTCCACTGAATCAGTTCCTCGTAATAAAGACTGAGCTAAACGTAGAAACTGCTAAAACAACTCAGTAGTAAATATTGATTGTACACCGCCCAGACTCCCAATGCAGTTCTACATATTCGACCAGCTGTGAGGATATTTATAATAACATACATTCGCATAATGTTCGCGTAAACTAAGTACGGCATATTTGATATTTTACCCCATTGATGATTACAATTTACATGAACAACCGGTAACCTTAATATAGTATAAATTTTTGTAACATATACAGCAGCTTAAAACAGTTCTCCTCGTTACACTAACAATATGAAACACACAATTCACAAAATTGTTTCATTGTTTATCGCAAATTAACAGTAACACCACTAATCAGACAAATGACAAATTACCTAACGGCTGTTTCGAATGTAATGTCTAATGTCAAACGACAGTGAAACGCGAACAAGATTCTGACATTGTGTAACCGACTTATTATTAGTGTCCAGTACATGATACATTTATTATTACCATAACGCGTCGTCACTCTGCATAGTCCAATCACAACAGTTAACAGGTATCACGAGATAATATTTTATCCAACGCGAAAACAATCATGCGCAAATTACTGGCGATTAAATTACTAAATCGCGCGGCTTACATGTAAAATTATTTGCGCGCGGCTTCTCACTTTCCAAATTTAAATTTTATTGGCACACATTTATATTCCGTTTTAAAATTAAAAAATTGTGATGGCAACGGCCCTCGGACAAATCTAGCGAGCGAAGCGAGCGCGCTCCAGAAAGGGGGGCGCTTTTTGAGTTGAGCGGGGGGGCGCCAAAAAGTAACGTTACGCCACTGCATTTAACTGATTCAACTCTTGGATTGATGGCTCAAGAGGCTGTGAGAAATATCTCTGTCAAGTCAGAAAATAGAAAGCTGCATTTTGTTCTATTTGATCTTTGTACCCAAGTATCTATGCATATTGTTCTAACGTTGTAGAAGTCATTGTTTATTAAAAATGTTAATGCAGTCACGTCACTCAGATAGGTTTTATACATTTTAACAAGGAGCGTTTTCATCGACAGGACACACATTCAGCCCACAATAAGGAACCATAGTTGTTTCAACAATGTGACTGTATAGATTTATTATTTTTATTCCGTACAGTGCATGGTAATGTACTGTAAACCATACTGTACTGTATCGAATTAGTTACCATCCGATCACAAGGCCGTTCTAATAACCACTAGCCATCAATTGGACCCCACAGCCCTGTACCAGAGAGATCTAGTGTTGCCTTTTCAGAAGGGTGCCCCTCTTCCGAATTGTAGGTCTTTTATGAGGAATCGGATTTGGCAAAATGTACCTCATCCCAGCAATATTCACTGTCAAAACAAGGTTAACTGACAGCACACACACACTTTAAATATTAAGTGTTTGGATTTAAAAAACATCCATTTACGCTTTTTTTTGTTGATATACCATATTTAAAGAGTAATCTTATTTTAAATGGAAGAGCTCCTTCTTTTTTAAGCTAGAGTAGCTACTCAAAAAGACTTTTTTGTTCAGAGCTTAGCCAAATGATCAAATGGGTGGAATGAGACTTAATAGATGCTTCTAAGGTCATCCAAAAATATTGTTTTGTGTAAAATTCATCAGGTTTGTGTGAAATTTTCTGCTGTGATTTCCTTCAGTGCAGTTTTAAAAATTTCCAGAAAGAGAAGTTGTGCATTTCAATAGGCATGACTCTTTTTTGTAAATATTGCCATTCTAGGAGAATTCTTGAACAAATAAATTGTGTGTAGATGTACTTCAGTATAACCCTGATTTAACGTGTCTCAATTCACTGCAAACCCTGATATACCGTGGCCATTTCTTTTACTTCAAATAGGGCTTTACATGTTTAATGTAAACAAACAAAACCCCAATTTACCGCAAACCCTGATTTACTGCAGATGTTTCCTTTCCCCCAAACTCCACGGTAAATCATGGTTTTATTGTACTTTGGAAAATATCACTTCTTTCATTGACTATTTTACTATTAAATCTCACTTGCTAAAAATATTGAATTTCAAATATTAACAACCCAACCTTCCTTCAGTAGCAACCATGTCTGCACCCCTTACTGCGGAAGAAGAGATCCTGTTGGCTGATTTCTCTAGAACCGTCCCCAGGAGTACTTCCATCCTCTTCCATCTCAATGCTCTGTTTGTCTCAGCATTGCCAATGTGGTTGTTCTGGAGAATCCAGCAGCTGGAGCTGAACACCTACGGTATCATGTTTGGTATTGTCACCATCATCTCCACATTCCTCTTGTCTCTTGCGTACAAGAATGTGAAATATTCTCTTAAACATAAGATTGCACAGAGAAGACACGCTGGAGTTACCGCTGAGGTTATGCAGCAGGTTGCTGATGCTTCCAGCGAGAAGAAGAAGACAGTAAAGAAGGAGAAGGACGACAGAGTCCTCTTCAAGAAGACCGAAGTTGCTGATCTGGAAGCTACTCACTTCAGCATTTTCTACAACAACGCTCTCTTCCTCTTCCTCACTATCATCCTTAGTTTCTACGTCCTGAAAAACTTCAGTCCCGGTGCCAACTACCTCGGATCCTCTGTTACCTCTGCTTGTGTCGTCGCTTTCCTGTCCACTAGCTCCGGTTAAATTACATAGACCTTAATTATTAACTAGGGACACAGCATAATATAATTATAATGCTACCCTACATTGATTGTACTAGACTGGGTAACTGTATATGGTTCTTTTTATCAGATTTTAACACTTGATAATAAATAAATATAACCTATGTTGAGAAATGTCTGTAATATTAAACATTTACGAACATTTTTAACATACACTCACATGTTCCCATTTCGCTTCTGGCTTAACACTAAGTTCTTCCTATACCTAGTCTTGTTGATAAACTTGAAAAAACAAATATAGTTTGTATACAGTTTCTGTTGTTGTTGTTGAAATGATATTGTGTTCATAGTTTTATTGACATTTGGGTTGAAAGATTATGCTGTCTCATTGCTTTCAAACAGTCACTTCTCAAAATTGATCATTGTCTCTTTTAAAAATTGAACCGTCACATTCTCAATATTCTGTAAATATTCAATATTCATGTTGCTATGGTGCCAATTTAGAATTCCCCAGAATTCTTATCTGATGAACCAGCTCAATATAACCCACAATCCACATACACACTGTCACATATAATAATTAACAGTTATTCTAACTTCATTTCAATCCATCTCAGCTGTACTTACTTAAGTCCACATTTACAAACTGATAAGATCACCCCAAATAAACACCTTGCACCCACACACCTCACGAGTCTCACAATGTAACTTGATACATCACATAGCATACCACGGTAAGCCACGTGTTCAGTCACGTGATAAGTCACACACTCGCTCCCTTACTCACACCACCATTTCGGTTCCTCTCTCTCTCTGTGTTTCGTAGACGTGGCCTCTTGTGACATCATGTTGCAAGTCATGTGTTGCTTTATTGGGGGGTTAGTGTACAGTGTGTGTGTTTGTGTGCTATTGTTATGTTTCATCTTTGTATTCTATGATGTCTAAAACTTACTGGCGTTTATTGTTATTGTTCAAGCCCTTTTAGCAGTGTGATTGGTTTTTACGCTCCATTTGCATTCCATGGTATCAAAGTTGTTTTAAGTTAAATGACAGGAAGCAAAATTACTAATGATCTTGGCAGCTGTCCAACGAAATGTGGCTAATGTTTATTTAGCACAAGTGTGACACAACTCAATCTAGCTACAACTACTCACCACTTTAACTCTTACGTTTAATTGTAATATCACTTGTAAATACTCGCCTGTAAACACATTGTTGTTATGGGTAACTTTTTGAGCAACATAGTGCATCTTTTTAAAGGGGTCCCCGACGCTAAACTCCTGATGTTGGGACTGGACGCTGCCGGGAAGTCAAGTATTTTGTACCAGCTTAAACTTAACAGATTCATTGGGACCGTCCCAACCGTTGGTATGTCTGGAATGTGTTGTTTTGTGTGTAAGTTGTTTTGTGAAGCTCGTGTCACGTGTGGTGATGTGGCGTGTCACGTGTGGTGATGTGATGTGACACGTGTGGTGATGTTGTGTGATGTTTTATACTCGTCACTCACTTCACCAGTAATCCAATCCTTTCATTGACACTAATCACCACATCCGATTAATGTATAAAATTGGTTACAATACTTTTACCGGACACACACCGACCTAACAAAGACAAATGAATCTAACTCTAATCTGACGAACTCAACACCTCATCTCGGAATGACCTCGACTCTACAACTTGATATAATGTTACCTAATTAAACAATTAACACATTATCTAATTGATAGTAGTGCCACATTATGGGTGGAATGTTCGCTAAACTGTTCTCCGGCTTGTTCGGCAAGAAAGAGATGAGAATATTGATGGTTGGTCTAGATGCTTCCGGTAAAACTACCATTCTTTACAAGCTGAAACTTGGAGAAATCGTCACTACTATCCCCACCATTGGTAAGTTTTATTTAAAATATTTTGTTTGAAGTTTTATTATTTAAGGTATTTTGTTTGAAGTTTATTGGAATTTTGAGTAACGCTCTTGATCAGATTTGAGCAAGTTTTCAGTCCAAGTTCTTATTTAAAAACTTAAGTACGTAACTTCTAAAACTTGCAGCAAAGCTCATGATAATTTCCTCACTCGAAATTATCTTTCAAACTCAATTTAAAATTTAAGTAGGAACATGATATTCGATACTATATAATATAAATGATGTCAGCACAGCTCCAGTCTGCCCAGAAAATTTATCACACACTTTTTTGTATCACACTGTGTCACTTAGTGCGTATTTGTTGTGCCCACCATTATTATGTTGCTGCTTTTTACTCTAAATATTTACTTTCGGTACTTTAATATTATGAGGCATATGAGTTTATACTGTCAATATGTCACCACCTTCAAAGTCAGTATAATGAACCTCCATTTCTCACTTGTCACGATATTTATTACCTTTAAACATTAAGATGACAGTAATTGACAGTTGACAATTTGAATCCTTACCAGTCTGCCGACAACCAATTTTTAACCGTGTAAAAACCGAGATGGTTTCAATAATGAATTAAAAGTCCTGTTAAGTTGACAGTTAACCTGTTTAACTGTGTGTAAGTTTCAGTGTTATTTCAACTGTCTACTGCCTCTCATATATTATGGTGGTATATGTTGACTGTCAGTGTTCAGTTGCAGTTATACTTCGTTGCGGTTTTAATTCTGGCGAACTTGTCAGATACTCTTAAGGGTTAATTATAGGTGGAATTAGTTAGGAGTAATTAGGTAGGAATAATTAATTAGGAGTAATTAGTAATTAGTAAGGGTAATAGATCTGATTACTAGTTATTACTACTGGCGGGGAGGTGGGCAATATGTTTTCAAAGTGGTTTCTGATTGGATAATATCTGTCACGTGTTAGAGAGCATGTGGTAAATACCTCTCCACCAGTATCCAGATATATTATTCATTTGATTGATTTTCCGTTCGATTCGTTAATAGCGTAATTCTGATTCTGAGAAGTTCACAATATTTTATCAGCCCTCTCAGTTTATTATATTGCCTTATGTTGATGATATTTATTAAGCTCAATTGAGAATATTCAGTCTCAATCGAGATTTTTTATTCTACAACAAATCGTAACCTTATCCTTGTATTGAAGCCTGTAGAATAATCTTAAAATAATTTCTGAAATAGCACCAAAATGGGGAAGATCATGAGTCTGATGCGAGGTCTTGTCTCAAAAAAAGAAATGCGTATTCTCATGGTTGGTTTGGATGCATCGGGCAAAACCACCATTTTGTACAAATTCAAGCTGGGGGAAATTGTTACAACTATTCCAACTATCGGTAAGGCGTGTGTTGAGAAAATGTAAAATCCGTGTCACAATCAATTCGATCACGTCTCAACACTGTAATACAATCCGTGTGATACATTGATCAAGTCTAAAATTTGTTCATGTACATTGTACAATATACATAATATGTAGTGATCCTTGTAATGAATTGGATGTTTATAGCTTGACCAGTCAAAGCACGGTGCCCTCCTCCATTTATCATATCCCATACATGAAACCTTTGGTTATTGCTGTATATTTTTACCATGACAAAATAACAACAAAAATGCGATGATCAACATTTATCACATAAAGAGTGGAAATGTACACGATCCCCAGTCCCCAATTAATCTAACTATGTACACAGTTACACGTATCGTTAATGAAGCTGTAGTTGCTCCACGCCTATTATTACTGTACGAACACACATTTTACTGTCGGTAGCTATAAACTGTAATCTGGTCGTTCTGGAATTGCCTTGACATCGTTATAATTGGTTATATCAACCTAGGATAAAACACACACATAATATAATATATCCTGATAACATTATCATACTAGTCTAGAACTATGTGTTGTTGAAAACGGCAGGATATTTGTGTCGGGTTTCTACACGATACGAAATAAGTCTTACATCATCTTTGGGTGTCTACAACGGAGCTATTTCTATATTTTATTACATATAATCATGGTGATCCGTGATGCTAGATGACATTCTAATCGTTTCTTGTAAAATTCCACATGTAATAATGTTTCAACCAGACACTCAACTACACACATACTACACACGTACTACACACATACTACACACATACTACACACATACTACACACATACTACACACGTCTCATTTCAATTACACGTCAAATATACACCGTGTCGAGTGTGTCGCCCCCCTCATACCAGCGTTACACAGGGGTTACACACCTGGTTTTGTGTCCCATAATTGTGTCTCATTGTTAACAATCAACACTTGTTATTAGATCTGATAACAGTTGTTATAAGATGTGACTATTGTAACTGATGTGACTATGTATGTGACTATTGTAACTGTTGTGACTATGTATGTGACTATTGTGTGTGTTTGTGTGAATATCGTTAGTTACCAGTTAGTTGTAAAATAGAACTCCAGCGGGTACTAGCTACTAGATGTGAAGATTAAATGTACAGTCTCAATAATTGAGGGATTGAAATGTGAAATCCAGAATTTTCTGGGTTAAATGGACTACCTTATACGTTTCAATGTTCTATATAATGCAATTTGCATAGTCTAGCGGATCCATTGCATATAATTATGCAGAACGTCCTACACTCGAATTTTTCCAGAATTAAAAGTTCTAGAAGTTTGAAATCTTGATTATAACCAGTATCGTGTGTATTAGAATAATCATTTTGTTGTGTGCAACTAAACAAGTTGTGGTGAATATTTTTGTTTTGTCCAAGAAATTAAGAAACTTTCTTCATACTTCTGAATAAACTTATTTTCGAGCTCCTAAAGTTCGTTATATGCAATACGTTTCTTGAAGTCATGAGACATTTCCCATTTATTTATAATGTGATAACAGTAATAACACACAAATGGTAACCCGTACGTCATTATATGTCAGTTCAACCTCGAAATCATCAAGTCCACGATTTCCCCTTCACTTAATTCATTCAATGGTGTTTAGTTCAAGCCAATGAAAGCAAAGTTATATCACTCTCTTATCCTATAGCTGTGTTCACTCGCAATACAAACTCTCAGAGCTGTACAAACTTGTCCGTACTACGAATTAACTCTAACCTTGACCTCTCAACCGGACCTTTTAAGGAATTTATATGAAATTTGTTAACAATTTCGCCGATGTTAACGCTTGATTATATTTTTTTGATTATCATCGACTAGCCAGTGCCTTTAAAATGGGACAACTAATTTGCAAGCGTATGTGATTTTATCGTTTTTTGACAGATTTATGGTACTTACGCTCCTATTTTAGTAATCTGAAATTCACCAATTCGAACCTCATTTTTATTTCTGCGCGGAAAAGGAAAAAACTATTTTCCTATTTTAGCTATAATGATCGGATGTACAAGTTTTACTACTCCCCCCATCTTAATAAAACGGAGCATAATTTGTCGCAACATCATTAACCTTGTTTATTATCATTTTAATTCCCACAATGTATTATACAGAACTGAAAATCTTCTCTGATACTACCGAATCAAAATCAAATCAGGCGTCGACCAAATCCTCGGCCTCGGCCAAAAATCTTCCCTTGGTCGACCCCGGCATCAAATCACCATCAAATTACCAGCTCCGGATTTTACGTGTCAACACCTTATAAGCGCCTTTACATTTGGGTGAAATTTTCATATCTACGATAAAATTACCAAATTATATACAACTGAATTTATTTCTGTATTTATTTATACATTGTCACCCAGGATTCAACGTGGAGACAGTCGAATATAAGAACATCAGTTTTACTGTGTGGGATGTAGGCGGTCAGGATAAAATCAGACCTCTGTGGAGACATTATTTCCAGAACACTCAAGGTAATATTTTGTCCGTTTTAATTATGGACATTCTTTCAACAGTGATTTCTATTTTTATTTTAAAATAAAGATTCAGTTTCCTTTAAAACTTAACTCCTCAATGAAAGATGAGTTTCCAGAATGAAAACTGTACTTTAGGAACTTCGGTGAGGTGGAAAATAGTTAAATATACATATCACAAAATAGAACTGATTTGTCTTATTTGATGTCCAATATCCAGGGTGAAACTTACATTTCTTGCCCCAGGTTTGATATTTGTGATAGACAGTAACGATCGAGAGCGTATAGGTGAAGCTCGGGAAGAACTCGGCAAAATGTTGAACGAAGACGAACTTAGGGACGCTGTACTTCTTTGCTTCGCCAACAAACAGGTACCTGTTTATTTTGTAACAACTAGCTATCCTGAGCGAGTGTACTAAGTATTTGTGTGGAGTTGATGTGGACGATATTGACACGTGTAAGAAAATCGATGAAACTTGTATTTTGTACAAATGTATATAGAGCTGTGTAAAGTCGAACACCTGTGGTATTGTGGGTCAGGATGTCGCAGGTACTATTAAAGGCTTGTGTCAGTCAACATATGGGGACTAATTGAGGGCGTCGACCGTCTCCTGCGTAGTGTTTACGTAGTCGGCCGGTCTCGATTTTATAAAACGGTCTTCTTTCATTGTCGTTGCGCTGGATAAATTGTATATCATCAGCATTTACGGTTTCGCGCGCAGAGGAAATTAAGCCGCGCGTTTCGCCAACTCATCACTGCGTACGTCATTTTCAATGGCAACTAGCAGTGTCATTTTAAAATTCGTGGCAGCTTGAATTTAAAGATCGATTTCCGCGTAAGCTTAGATCACTTAAAGTTTCTAATGAATATGTGTGTAGACTTTAGAGACTCTCACAAACTTAAACGCTGTGCTAACTCCTCGGTGTGCATATTAAATCTCCCAAACATTCATTTATCACACGTCAACGTTCTTGTGTCAGATCGAATTACATAATTTTGTTCTCTGGATCCACTGAATGTTCCGTGTCCACTAATTATATGGTTACTACCGTGGTTACTGTGGTTACTGCCGCCAAACTACCACCATATCTAAGAAGTTGTATCAAGACTTATCTCCAAGATATCGCACTATTACAGCCTGTAACCTCAAAACAGACTTAAACAAGACTTAACAAGACAATCTTCAGGATCTGCCTAACGCTATGAACGCTGCTGAAGTGACAGACAAGCTGGGACTCCATGCTCTCAGGAACCGAACATGGTACATCCAAGCCACATGCGCTACCAGTGGGGACGGACTATACGAGGGCCTCGACTGGCTGTCAAATCAGCTCAAAAACAAGAACTAAACCTGACTGACTCCTCCTGCCTCCATCGCGCACGTCCCCCTATATTATTGAATGTGGAACTGTGTTTTCAGAAAAGAGCGAATGTTTGTAGTATGGCATGGACTTTTTATATGCTGCATGAGATCGAGCGATATGCTCCTACTACATGAGCCAGAACAGGAAGCCTCTTTTCTGAACGCCCCGTAGTGGTCTTTGTTCAATGTGTATAATAATTTAAAATTGTGTAAAGAATATGAGAAAATCCTTAATATGAAGTAAATTTAACGATTTATTATTTCAAGTATAGATTGTTAAAAACCATAACAATGGTCTGAAGAACGTGGTCCAAATTCTTTGCCAATTTTTCCCCTCAAAATATCGAGTTTACTGCACAATTATTTGCTTTTTATGTTTAATTATTTTTCCGTAGGACCATAGTTAATTTGGCTAGTCCACTTTAATGACTGAAAGCAATGAAAGCAACTCAATTGTTTGATCTGAATATATCTAATATATAAATTTGATTTTTTGAAAACATCATATTTTATTGCTTTAAATATTTGTTTAAATAATAATGAAATGAAGCAGATACTTCTCAACAGTCGATTCTAATCCTGTCTGAAAATTAAAGTGTATACCTCAATCGAATATCACAAGTATCGATGATCGTTGTTGACCGATAGATTAAACAATTGATAAATTGTAATATAAACGTTTCATATTAGCAGGATGGCGACCTCCTTACTCCGGAGAACTAGATGTCTCCAACCTTGCCTAGCACGGTGCCTTAACTTGCAGGTTCGTTTGCCGTTTAAGTAATTATAAGATCATTGTACACAATATACGTGTTAAATTGCACTGAAGACACGTGTCATAACGCACAGACACGTGTCATAGTGCGCGTGCGCTAGACAATAATGAACTACCCATGTTATTCATGTACCGTAAATCTAGTTTCTTGATTCGCAAAGTAGTAACCTTATAATATCCTGGATATTCTGCACCTGGTTTTAATTTAACTAATGTCTTAAAAGAAATAGCAGACATGGCTAGTACCAGTAAGTTTTCATGTTTCTTCTCCAGGAGTACCAGAGTAAAGGCCTAATGGACAAGTACGGAGTGACAATCCAGCCTTTCCTGGTCGCTAAATCCGGGCCAGACGCTGCAGAGAAAGCTCACATCATGTTAAATGAACGTGGAGCAAATGAGATCGTTTTAAAAGCTCAGATTCTAGCTGGAGGGCGAGGTAAAGGTACCTTTAGTTCTGGTTTAAAAGGAGGAGTGAAACTAAGCAAGGAACCGAGTGAGATCGGCCAGCTAACCGAGAAGATGATAGGTTTTAATTTAGTAACTAAGCAAACCGGCGCTGAGGGCAGTCCGGTGAGTAATGTAATGGTAGCCAAGGCTCTGAACATTGTTAAGGAGACCTATCTGGCGATAGTGTTGGACCGAGCATACGGAGGTCCGGTCATTATTGCCAGTCCTGATGGTGGGGTTGACATTGAGGAGGTGGCAGAGAAAACTCCTGAACGTGTTTTCAAGATCCCAGTTGATATTTTCGAGGGTATCAGCGATGAAGCTGCTGTGGATCTTGCGCATAAACTTGAATTTGAGGGCGACGCCATTCCACAAGCTGCCCGAGAAATCAAGAAGCTGTACGAACTTTTCATCGGAGTTGACGCTACACAAGTTGAAGTTAATCCATTCGGTCTAACAGACGAAAACGAGGTTGTATGTTTCGACGCGAAGATGAACTTCGACGATAATGCCCAGTTCCGACAGAAGGATATATTTGAAATGGAGGACACAAGTGAGACGGACCCGAGAGAGCTGGAAGCAGCTAAACATGACCTAAACTACATAGCCATGGAGGGCAACATCGCCTGTTTGGTTAACGGTGCTGGCCTGGCCATGGCCACCATGGATATCATCCAACTACACGGTGGTTCGCCTGCTAACTTCCTGGATGTGGGTGGTAGTGTCCAGGAATCCCAGGTTGAGAAAGCGTTCAATCTTTTAACCAGGGACCCAGCTGTCAAGGCCATTTTTGTTAATATCTTCGGCGGGATCGTGGACTGCAAAGTTATAGCTACTGGTATAATAAATGCTTGTAATAAGACTGGTTTGGAATTGCCCCTTGTGGTAAGATTAAAGGGGTCTAATATGGAGGCTGCCCGGAAACTTTTAGGTGAATCTGGACTAGATATGAAAGCTTATGATGAGTTTGATGACGCTGCTGGGGCAGTCGTAAAGTTTGTGAATTGAGGGCTGTTTGATGACGCTGCTGGGGCAGTCGTAAAGTTTGTGAATTGAGGGCTGTTTTTTATTGTAACTTATTTTTAGCCAAGCGCTTTATGAGAGCAGATTTATACGTTGATTTTTATCACGTTTTAAGTATTTAATGACCTTGCGTAGTGTGCACTGTATATGAAATTTGAAGATGAAACTATAAATTATTTTTTGTAGTAAAATCCTGTTTGATTGTTAATTTGTTCCTATTCTTTTGAATCAAATATTTACGAAACCATGCTTGAATACAATTGTCCCGGTGCCAAATACTATCCACTGCTGACAAATTTGTGAGACAAACAGATACAAAATTATTCAAAAAATAAATCTTACCCAAATTTGTGAATCACCATGACGTAGCTAGGTGTAAAAGTGATTACAGAGGAGGTGTTAAAGATTGGCCAAAAATGTAAGTAATATACTTTAAATATACCGTTATTTTACGGAATTAGTGTATGGTATTTGACCAAAACCCATAATCATGGGTAGAGTGTACCGCTGCCAGTGTCTCTCTTTTCCAAACAAAAGGAAATGATATTAATTTGAGGAACAGTCCGCTAATGCAAATTGATACCGAGAATGAAATCGGTCGCTCGCTTTTTCAAATCAATAAGCTTTATTACAATTCGTAAGCCGTGATCGAATGGAAAAAGCGAGCGACCGATTTCATTCTCGGTATCAATTTGCATTAGCGGACTGTTCCTCAAATTAATATCATTTCCTTTTGTTTGGAAAAGAGAGACACTGGCAGCGGTACACTCTACCCATGATTATGGGTTTTGGTCGAATATCATCTCTTTTTGATTATAATGTCAGGATAATTTACACAGCTAGTCGAAACTTCATTAACAAGGAGGTAATTTCGACGGTTTCGAAATTCTGCCTTTGAAAACGTTTCCTTGTGTTTAGTTAGGTATTTCTGTCGATAACCGACTGAATATGGCACTTTTTACTCATTCAAGTTGGCATTAAATTCATATATCATGCCATTTAAATATCGTGGAAAGCAGAATATATTCGAAATCACGAATGAGCAAATTTCTCACCTTTCGCACGTGCAAACTTTGAGCGGACGTCGCGTGCGCATACAATATTGAATCACCGTACATTTTTGCATAATGGTATTTAATATATAGTTTGATAAGCATGCAAAGTTTCAGAAGATTTCAAAAAGAACTTGGATCACAACGGGACTCCAAAGTTGATAAAAATCGTGAAAATCAAAATTTTTAGCGATTTTAGCTATTTTAAATGAATTTGGGCGTGTCCCCACGTGTGCAACTTTTCGATTTTTAACTTTAAAACTAGCCTATAACACAATTTACACCTTTAAGAAGCAAAATTGAGCTCCACAACCCAAGGGATGGCCCAACACCAGAGAATACTAATTCACAACTTTTGTGTTTTTATAAAATTATTCTTCAAAAAAGCACTAACTTCAATAGCAAATATCTTTATGAAGGAGCAAGGTAGGAAACTATTCCGGTAGATTTTCGGAATGCTTGAACAATTATCTAAGGTGAAAATGTCCTCAGATTTTGAATAAAATTACTCCTTAATAGTGTAAAATCGATCTAAAAAGTTGTTACTTTGTCAAAAGTCAAGTTTTAAAAACACTTAACTTGATGACGTCATCAAGTGATGATGATGACGTTAAATTATTTTTCAATACAATGTAAACTAAAGCTTAAACAATTATCTTTAAAACCTGTGGTTCGAGATGACTGTATCGTTTATACTTTTGAATCTACGGGCACTTAAATGTAGGCTACAATTGACTGCAAAAAGCGTCTATATATATATATATATAGTATATATATATCTTCACGACAATCTGTTGTAAAACAGGGGTTCCAGAAAACCCACTTCCCGATACTCCTGAAACATGACATTTCTTTTACAGTCGATTTGGACAAGGTCTAGACGCCCTGCAAAGTTTCAGATCTCTAACTCAATTTTAACATGGTTTTTAAGGCACCTGAATATGGCGATTTTGGGTTTTTTACCTAATTTCGTATAACATGCTGGCGCGTATTTTGCGCAAATTTCTTAAAAACCTCCATAAAACTATTTCTTATTCCTGTCATCTTCAACATTGAATTAGAATGTTTTGAACTTAAATGTACCTGCTGAACTACTTTCGATGAGTCTTAATGCCTGGAAAACAATAAAGGGGATATAATCGTATAGGGGGTAAATAGTGTTGTGAATATAAGGGCGACGGTAATGCTTGCCAGCATTGTGATAATACCAGATTACCTCAACCTGCAGGGGACCCCCATTTGTATCACGTGGTGACCCCCACTGTCGCTTCACTATAGTATCACTGTAGAGTTTCGACGGGGGGGGGGGGGGGGGGGCTGCCAATGGCATAAATTGAGAAAATGGAGAATTACTCATAGGTTTTTCCATTTTCTCCATAGAAATAGTCTCCATTTTATGCCATTTTATGCCATTGAAAACCTGAAAAATTTAGAATTTCGAGAAAAATTATTTAAAAAAAAGATATTTTCGGCCAATAATGAACAGAGTATCATGAAACATGGAGAAAAGTGGTTTTCAGAAAAACTTTGAAAAATGTTGACTTTAAGAAAATGTTCGGTCCGAGTCATTTACGATACGTACCTCCCGTATCGAGAGCTCCCGATTCCCAGCTCGTGTTGCAAAGGGGAGGCCTGCCTTCCGAGATCGCATTACCTCGAGTTCAAAATTGTGTATCGAGGGGAAGGTGTGGACTTCGAAAAACCGATAAAATATTTTCGGCAAATAATGAACAGAGTAGCATGAAACGTGGAGAAAAGCGGTTTTCAGAAAAAATTTGAAAAATTTTGACCGAAAAAATATTTTCGGCTTAAAATGAACAAGGTAGCATGAAACGTGGAGAAAAGTGTTTTTCAGAAAAACTTTGAAAAATTTTGACTTAGAAATTACCCCTCGGTACACAATTTTGGACTCGAGGCTTCCCCCTGGTAATGCGATCTCGGAAGGCAGGCCCACCTTGGACAGCAAACTCAACTTCAATGAACATATCATCAACACCACCAAAAAAGCCACGGCATCCCTCATGCAATGCCGAAGAGCTGTCGGCCCCACATGGGGTATGAGCCCCAAAACATGCAAATGGATGTACACTGCTGTCATCCGTCCAATCCTATCCTACTGCTGTAGTATATGGATCAGGGCCACTCAAACGGACTATAACGCGAAGAAACTCAAACGTGTTCAGGCATTGGCACTCAGAATGATGTCTGGTGCCATGCCAAGCACACCTTTTATCGCATTGAATCACCTCACCGACACTTCTGACATCATACTGTTCCTGCAAGGCGAAGCAGCAAAGGGTGCGGCCAGGCTACAAGCTTATGGCAGCCTCACTCTTGAAACTATCGCCCTCAGGAAGGGAACTATCAAAAATCATACCACTGGCACTATCAACAAACAATTCATGGCAGATCTCATTATTCCACCTAGAGCAACGCGGGACCTAACAACACCAACCATGATGCTGGGACGGCACTTCACCGTCACAACTCCTGGAGCCGATAACACTGAATATAGAAATTCACTTCAAAACACCATTGACAACATTACCAGTGAAACGATCACCTGCTACACTGACGGGTCACTCACAGACTCAGGATGCGGGGCTGGCTATATCATCACAACTGACAACAATAACAACACCCTTGAAGAAAGATCATTCAAGCTCCCTGATTATTGCACTGTTTACCAAACAGAGCTCACCGCCATCATTGAAGCTTGCAAATTTCTCTCTACCTATACCAACACACATATCATCATATGGTCTGACAGTCTCTCATCTATACAAGCTATCTCTGCGCTTTCAACGCGGAGTAGAACTACAAGAGACTGTTACGACTCTCTTAATGCACTCGGATCCAACAACACGCTAGAGATACGATGGATTGCAGCACACATCGGATTGTGGGGGAACGAAAAAGCAGATGAGCTGGCCAAGCTTGGTACAATCAGTGAAACCACTTTGAAGTGTCCAATTCCACAATCCTACATCAAGCGTCAAATCGACAACAAAGTCAACAGACTGAATCAGGAAACTTGGTTAACTGACGGTCCCAGACACACCAAACTGACACTCGGCCACAAGCATGCCAAAATCATCAAAAACCTCAACACTACACTCAGCAAAAACAGACAAGATTACAGAACTGAAGTTCACCTCATCACGGGTCACTGCGGCTTAAACAAACACCTTCACACCATTTGCAAATCAAACACCAGTGCTTGTCCTATGTGCGGCGACGGAGAGGAAACTGTCTCACACTTCCTTGGACAGTGTCCGGCTATTGCCCAAATTAGAGGTGAATATTTCCAGGACTACTACCTCTCTGTCAATGACATATTCGACAACCAACACATCACCACAATTGTCAATTTCGCAAACCGCACCAAACGCTTAATTGTGCCGGAAGAGTTGGATCAGACCGGGGTGGGGGGGGGGGCCAATGGCATAAATGGAGAAAATGGAGAATTACTCATAGGTTTTTCCATTTTCTCCATAGAAATAGTCTCCATTTTATGCCATTTTATGCCATTTTATGCCATTTTATGCCATTGAAAACCTGAAAAATTTAGAATTTCGAGAAAAATTATTAAAAAAAAAGATATTTTCGGCCAATAATGAACAGAGTATCATGAAACATGGAGAAAAGTGGTTTTCAGAAAAAAACTTTGAAAAATGTTGACTTAGAAAATTTTCGGTCCGAGTCATTTTCGATACGTACCTCCCGTATCGAGAGCTCCGGATTCCGAGCTCGTGTTGCAAAGGAGAAGCCTGCCTTCCGAGATCGCATTACTTCGAGTCCAAAATTGTGTATCGAGGGGAAGGTGTGGACTTCGAAAAACCGAAAAAATATTTTCGGCAAATAATGAACAGACTAGCATGAAACGTGGAGAAAAGCGGTTTTCAGAAAAAATTTGAAAAATTTTGACCGAAAAAATATTTTCGGCTTATAATGAACCAGGTAGCATGAAACGTGGAGAAAAGTGTTTTTCAGAAAAACTTTTAAAAATTTTGACTCAGAAAATTACCCCTCGGTACACAATTTTGGACTCGAGGCTTCCCCTGGTAATGCGATCTCGGAAGGCAGGCCCACCTTGGACAGCAAACTCAACTTCAATGAACATATCATCAACACCACCAAAAAAGCCACGGCATCCCTCATGCAATGCCGAAGAGCTGTCGGCCCCACATGG